TTTTACATGCAACTCAAAATTAAGATAAACGGAAACCCAGCCAGCATCCTGAGCAAGAAAACAGCAGAAAAGAGGGCAGAATTATTAAGTGAACCCAACCAAACTATTTTGGAGGCGTCAAGATTGCATCAAGGGTGCCTTACGCTCCTAGCCTAACTAAACACTTTATAAACAGACATAAAACTGCTGTTCTCTCTCTCTCTCCCAATCTGTATTAGGGAAACATGCAACAGAGATTTGTCACTGGAGCTATTTTTCTGGCTGACAATTATTAGCCCAAAAATAAAAGGCAAGAGTAAAAGGGGATGTTGGAACATCTTGAGGGGAAATACTATGAACAGCAATGCTCCAACTTCACTCTTGGTGCCTTTCCAGTTGTCTTTATAAACTCCTCACTCACTGCTGTAGGCTCTGCAAGAGATGCTAAGGTAACAAGTAAGCTCTGCAAGAGATGCATGGAGTTTGGGCTGACGTTTATTTCCCAGGCATGCCTTGACTCCCTGGTATCAGATAAAGATGCTACAGTGATACTATACTAGAAGCAGTCAATAAAACACATGGGTGATGCTTAAACCACTTTGCAGACACCTAAATCCTGAATGAACTGCTGCAGGGTCAGCAACTTGCCAAGATACTATCTAAAAATCAGCCACTCATTTAATCTCCACTTTAATGCTTGAGAGACTCCCGGGACAACAGGAATTGCTCAAGTAGCAGTCTGCAAGTGTATAGCCAAGGACAGGCATGGCTTGGTGGAGGTTGTCCTAACCTCCATAGTATCTTCCAGGGGTGAGGATACAATTTCAAGCCTTGTGAATGAGATAGGCTACTTGTGTAAATGCTTATACTCCCATTATAGTGGCTGTTGCAGGAAGGGCTAAATGCCTATTTAGGTTGTTTCTGTTACAGCTTTAAAATAATTCTAATAGCATATCCATTTTGCTATTTTCTGTTCTCAGTGCTGTCTCTTGTAATGAGCAGTTCTAATGGCTAATAGGTTCATTTTCATTATGCTTTTCATTTTTGAATATATAATTGGGGAAAAATAAAACAAGTGATGAGATTCTTGCATGCTACAGCACTTGAAAGGCTGCAAAACTCCAGTCTTCCATAGATACTGGTATGCCTCACTGTTTGGTTCCGTTCATAACTTCCTAAGGCAACTTCCAGACTACAGTGAACTAAGTCCATTTTGGGTGGGCAGCATTCTTTCAACCTCTGGACATACAAGGTACACAATCTCAGTGCTTCATGCATCCATAATACTGATCTCCTTTGTAAAGCACTTTGAGATCTACCAATAAAAATGCTATATATGAGAGCAAGGCATTATCATTATGGAATAACTCACATATGTCATGGGCAAAAATGTTTGGGCATCAATTTAAAAATACAAAATCTAAATTTTACTCTTGTCAGTTATTGACATTGAGTTTTGAATGCTACATGAACAAAAGAAATTTAACTACTGTTGTTCTTCTGTGAGTAACAAAACTCATATTTTGTGCGTTACAAGAGGAAAATTGTATTTGGAGTCAACGGGCATCTTTCTCTTGTCAAGACCTTCAGATACTGGCCACAGATACTTACAGAGTGTTTTAGAAAATATATTCTCTACATAAACTACAACTGACATATGGCTCTCAGTGGGAGAAATAAAAAGGTGTAAAAAAACCCCAACTAAGCAAATTCCTGCTTTTGTTAAAAGTGCAGTTGGAATTGTAATGTCCACTCAGAACTGTAGCATTTCAGTGGGGAAAACTCTTTCAAGCTCAGTGGAAGAAGGCAAAAGATGCTTTAACATGCTTTTAAAACAATGCACCTCTTCCCTTGATTTACCTGATTTAACTTTGATTCTACAACAGAAACAGTGTTTCAGGAACCAGTAGTTATGTTTAGGGAACTTTGACTCCAGAGTTACTCCTTGATTCACCTTACCAGCATGTTGACTTTGAATAGCAGAGTAGAATTAGCATTGTCCCATGCAACCCCTCTTAATAGTAGATGAGCAAGTTGCACCCATATATAAATAGCAGTATCAGGAATGTCACATGTTTTATTATTTCACTGTGTGCACCCAACAACAGTTCTGCTGACTAATATGCTAACCAATATGGATGTATTCAACTGCAAGTCTATAATGCAAACCACTAGTAAAATGTGTTTAATACTAATATTTAAAAAAAAACCCGAAAAAGAAGAATGCATTTTATCCCGCTGTGTTTAGTAATCTTTTCAAAATTATTTCCTTTTGGAAATCCCCACCTGTCACAAAAAACAAACCTGAAATATACTGTGTATAGTTTTCTTATCCAGCATTCATGAAGAACATTATTATGATTTTATTATTCCAGAGATAAATGACTTGGAAATGCATATATGCTCACGGCTCCACATTGCCATATAAATGGCTAGGGGTAGTTGAGCAAAATTTGCTAATAGTCTTATAACTGACATGGCTGGGTGACTGGTGGTGGCATCACTTTTGACAATTATAATTGGGTGTCCATATATACAATGCTATCAGTATCCTCATTTATGGAACTGTGCTTTTTCCCCATCATAACACGGGCTGGAAGATGTCTATTGGCATTCAGTCTTCACTGTTACATGTCATATTAAAAAAATGAGCGGGCAGGGAAAGCCAAAATACTGAAAACATATAAACCAGTTCTCCTACTGAACCATAATCTATGAAGTCATATGGTTTGGCTGCATGAAAAGAACTACAGCATTTTCCTTCGCTTGTTTAAGGAGCATATTTGTGTAATAGTTGTTGGGAATTTTGCTTAACTACTTACTACATTCCAAATAATCTATTTCTGTACATAAAAGTCTGAGTTCACTGAAGGCCTGTAGTACTTTATGTGAGGAGAGGGCATTTACAAGGGACAAGTAAATGCCCATTTACTAGGGATTGGGGACAGCATTTGGAGTCAGAAACTCATGAGGGAAAAATCCCAGGTTTCATCACAGACCCTGTCTGCTTTTGGGGAATGTACTTGGATATACACTTTCCAGAATGACCGACCATTGCAGGGACTTAACCTAGAACTAGCTGGGCCTGAGTTAAAGCAACGCTGAATGTCCACAGCTTCTCCTGAAGTCATACGTGCGGCTCTGCAGGTGCTCAGCATTTCTGGAGAGGGGTCTTAAAACAGGCACCCCAAATCCGTAGTGCTTTTAAAGCCATTTAGTTCATCTCTGTCTCAGCTTCCCCATCACCAACACAAAGGTACCTACCGCAGCACAATTATGTGATTTTTTTGGTCAACACTTTAAAGATCGAGAGCTGGATAAGGACTATGCTATTGCCCTGTGATTATTATTACAAAAACAGTCTGTCCACCTGAGGTGTCTCTATGCTCTCATAACTACGGTATCAGAGCATCTTGCAGTTATGTTTCCCCTCACTTTGTGCGGCACGTGTGTTCCTGGAAAACGGGGCGTAACTCAAACTTGTGTTGAGGGAACCCACTTTACAATGTAACAAATAGGGATATGTTCCAAGACCCCGACCGTACAAGACAATTGTGGTGCTCACCGACAGCAGACAGTGCACACCAGCGCAGGGCAGTGCCATAATGGGGATGGTGACTGCAGAAACACATCTTGCGGGCAGCAATCGAGGAGCACGGATCCATGCAGGAGATTATTTATCTGCCCGTCACTCCCACAACGCACCGCACAAAGCAGCCGACCACGGTCCTCCACCACACCGATCGCAGAAGGGCGAATTTACCTCACGCATAACAAATTGTTAGTATAAAGAGGGTCATCACGTAAGGGCGAATTCGCACATGCAGAACCCGCATAACGTGAGGGAAACCTGTAATTTACTTACCCCTGGGAGGAAGTCCTATTATCTCCACATGCTGAGGCGCAGAGAGAGGGGTCACGTAGGACACCTGGGGCAGCTCAGGAGTCCGGGCCAAGGCGGCTGGCACGTCAGCCTAGCGCCCTCATCACCAGCCTTTCCTTTCTCCTCAGGTGAGCTCTGGCTATCTGTGTGTGAGGGGAGCTGGCACAAGGCCCCTCTTTTCCTTTCACTCCCTGTTGGATCCCTTCAGAAGAGCACAGACTCCAAGGAGGCCCACACGCTCCCACAGGGCCGCACGCATCCATCCAAGTGCTTTGGCTGGACTAACAGCCTGGCAGGGGCTTCTCATGTAGAAAGCACCAGCTGGGAAGCGACCTGAGGAGGGAAGCAAGGGGATAAGGCATATCCCTCCTGTGGGCTGAGGGAGGGCTCTTTCCTAGTGGGACTTGCTGTCAACATGGGTGTCTGGCATGGGCAGGCAGGAGAGGTACACGTTCAGCTGCCCATCCATCCCTCCAGCATGTCCCTCTGGGGGTGTCCCTGAGAGAGGGCAACGACGGGGCCACTCAGATGCTAGGTAGTCGGCGAGGTGCCCTCGAAGGCAGTGCTTCTCAACCTTTTTTGTACCAGGACCCATTTGTAAACATCGATAGCCAGTCCTAACCCTGTGCCCTGCCCACCCCCACCAGGCCTCAGCTCCCCAATTTGTGGGGCAGGGTGTGGGGCTGGGACATGGGGGAGCTCTGCCAGCCTGCAGGGGACAAGCCACAGTTTCCCGTGCTTTTCTCCTTTAAAGGACAATCATTTTAAAGTTTGCTGATCCATTTTGAGAGTTTGTTTGTGACCCCTTCATATATTTTCGTGACCTCCTTTTGGGTCTGGACCGACGAGTTGAGAAACGCAGCTCTAAGCCACATCTCTGCAGTACAAACAGCCATGCTGGCACAAGGAGGTTTAGCTTGGGTTCTTTGCTTCTGGTTCACCTCCTTTAGAGACTAAAATGACTCCCCCCTTCCTCCCACCACCACTTGTTTTGCACTACTTAGCCTGATAGATACTTAAATTGAATGCCCTCTTAGCTGGAGTAGTTACGATAAATCTCCCCTTATTAAGTCTATCATGAAGCACTTGGTCTTATATTCCTCTCACCATTGGCTTTGTTCTGTGTTTACCCTCTTAGATGAGATGGAGCAGTCCCCGGCAATGCGTTCTGACTATCTGGTCTCAGGGATTAGAACTCCACCAGTGAGAAGGAACAGCAAGTTGGCAACACTGGGCAGGATCTTCAAACCGTGGAAGTGGAGGAAAAAGAAAAATGAGAAGCTAAAGCAGACATCGGCAGGTAGGATGAGTGTGACAGCTTGACTCTGCGCAAACCAAAGCGCAGCTTGAGAGGAAAAATAAGACGAACTGGCAAATTATTGACAACCTGATTCTAAAAGTAATCCCTAAACTTGGGCCTGCTGTGGATTCAGGGGTTCTTAGACCAGAAGGGACTATCGTGATCCAGCTCCCTGCATAACACAAAGCACAAAATTTCAAAGAAATGAATTTCAGCTTGCTTAAAGTGGACTTAACTGAGCAGGCAGTCCAGACTGAAGAAGCTACATTATGTCTCTAGTTTCTGCATTTATAAGGGATCGCATGCAACAGCATTAACAAGGATTGCTCGTTTATAGGCTGAGGAGAGATACCCATACTTCCATTGGAAAGTCTTTTATATCTAAACAATACCATAAACCACCATTCAGTAAGTGTTACTGAATGAGACTGAGTACCAAAGTCTGGCTCTTCAGGTAAAACGAGTACAGGAAAGGCTTTCAAAGCTATTTTTTGCAGCCTACCCATAATCCTTAGAAAGTCCATTACTTGTATGTGGCCCAGTGCCAGGCATGTCTCCAAATAGTTACCATCTGATGTCTCTCTGGCAACCTCTGTAAAGTATGTTAGTGCTAGCAATCCAGTCCTAGTTGGGAATTTACACTGAAAACAGCCACATCATCGTAAACAATCCTTACATTGACAACTAGTAGAGAAGTAGTGGATTAACTTACATTCACATACCTTCAGGAAACACATATTCCATATCAGCATTAATGCATATCAGTTGAAGAACTTTGCACATCAGTGGGGAAAATTGCACTGCTCCTGTGCTGGAGGTATGAGCTTGGAGGTATGGTGGTATGAGTCTAATACTTTGCATTAGAAATTAAACAGTAAACAAAGAGGACTTTTTTAAGTGCCAGTAAAAGTGGACTCTACCAGTAAGGTATTGCACAAAAACATAAAGATGTGCTGAATAATAAACAGAGAACTGATGATGATATCCGCTTGCATAGTGACATCATCCAAAGCTTTGCACCCAAAAAGTATCCCTACAATGAGAGGTGTTTATTTTTTCATTTTTCTAGGCACTCCTTTTTGACATATTGCATTCAACCTATTTTCAATTCCCATTTTGGTGACAGAAATCTATAGAGACCCTAAACAGAGCATGTTGTCATTGCTCTGCCTGATTGGGCTCAACTTCTGAACAGAACAGTAAGGATTCTTTCCTGCAGCAAGTGGCGGATGCTCTGTTGTAGAAATGCTTACTAGATGCTGGGGTGACAAAGTGTGAACTCTCTCATCTCAAAAGGCATCCCTAGTGCTCAGCATAGAAGCAGAAGTCACTTGTTTCTTCTAAGGGACAAAAGATTGCAAAGGTGGATGTAAGATGGCTGTCCACAAGGTGCTCTGTGGAGACCACATGAAAACGAACATACTTCCCAAGGCTGCTTCATAGTCGCAGTATCAAGGCTACAGTAGCTTTCACATGTTCAGCATCGCCCTGTCCTTCCTTATATCTATTGTTAGTCTCAAATGCAGTAGCCAACCCTCAATCCACAGCCTTTCCCCTAATACTTTTCTACTTGGGGACACAGGAAGCTGCCTTTCTATGGAGTATAAAAGTGCTGCACGCTCCTAGTGAGAGCTCCCGGCATCCAGCTTCTCTCCTGTTGTATATTATGCAGAAAAGGATGTGTTCAGCATTTGCCCCAAGGTACAGAAGCTGAGGTCCTCGGAGAAGAGATGACATACTGTTCTCTTCACCATTCTCAACACTATGGAGCTGCAGTTTTCTGCTGGTTTCACAAAATCTCTCAACCTCCGCAAGAGAAGGCTGAGAGGTGATCTTGTGGCCATCTACAAACTCATCGGGGTGGGGGGGGAACAGCAGGAAATAGGGGATACGAAGTTTACCAGGGCGCCCATCAGGGTAACTAGAAACAATGGCCACAAACTGAAGGAGAGCAAATTTAGATTGCACATCAGGAAAAAATTCTTTACAGTGAGTGTTGCCAAATTATGGAATACGCTTCCAAGGGAAGTGGTGCCGTCTCCTTCCTTGGAGGTATTTAAGAGGAGATTGGACAGACACCTGGCTGGGGTCATCTGAACCCAGCATGCTTTCCTGCCCAGGGCAGGGGGTCAGACTCGATGATTTAATACGTCCCTTCTGACCCTAATAGCTATGAAATCTATGAAACATGGTTCCAATTCTTGATTCCTATCAGAGTTACTCTCTGCCTTAAGGCAGCTAATTCATCTGATTCCCAGAAGGGACTGATGCACAGAAGGGAAGATAGAGAGGAAGGGGAAAAAAAAGAAGGACCAAGTAGTTTTGAAGCCCCTTATGCATTTGGCAAGCAATACCAGCTGGTGATTTGTTTGAAAAATTCCTAAGCAGGGGAGGGCATCCCCATGCTTCACACTTGTGGATGAAGGTCAATCAGGTGAAATAATATATAGGTAACAGATGCTTATACAAAGCATGTGGTATGACAAAGAGACAAAGCAGTAGTGGGCAGGAAGTCTTGGGGAGGGTGGAGCTTTTGGCTTCCCCTACAAATCACAAATATTAAACAGTTTTGTAATCCCCTGTAGAGGGAGGTTTGAGCCCCACCCTAAATCTGAACATCTCCTGATCTGGGAGATTTAGATTCAGATCCAGGCAGCTGGCATCACTATCACCAATGCACATAACCAAAACAGTGCACTGAAACAACCTTGAATTTTGACAGAGGATATGAACGTGGTTGTTACGCCTCTTGGTATATCTTTGTACTTTACAAAGTCCTGTGTCTTCAGTTGGCCATTCTACTATGGCTTTAATGATGAAAAAAGCACTGAACTGGCCAGTCAGTCAAAATGCAGCCCAGCATTAAAACTACACCCCTAAAATTCTCTGTGGTCCTTTCCAGGTCCACTCATTAGCATAATGCATTTGTAACTAGTCACCATTCACCTGTTGCAGTTTTCCCATTGAATTTCTGTACCTGACTATTTCCATCCGTTGTTTCCTCTTATTTTCTATGTTATGCTACCACCTTCTGCAGTGTTAGAGAAGAAGATTACAGCAAGGCAAGGTCGGGATGAACTCATTAAGAAAGGTCTTCTGGAGATGATGGAACAAGGTAAGTAAAAGCTGTCTTCCTTTTTATTGTAGTTCTTATTTATTTACTTATTTATTTTTTTCACTGTAGTTCTCATTCGTGCAAATAGGAAACACATAGCCATGAGGGGAAAAAACGTGATCAGCCTGAACAATCATTAAGTCACATTCATTCTGAATATAACTGAACATAAATAGTATTAGTTTGGCTTTTTCTCCATCTTGGGTACAATTCCAGTTATGCAACCATGAAGTCAGTGATGTAGGTTTTATGCAATTACAGAAAACTGCCAAGAAACTCAAAGCTTAAATGACTGTAACACCAAACACACAGATACATTCAGCAAAGCTAACTAGTACAGACTATTTATAGAATGATGTTAAATCTAGGTTTTCAGTTGTCTTTAATGTCAAGCAGGTTTCATACAAGACACAATATCATTATATCAGTCCTTCATTCACAGAGAAAAGTGAGAGTTGGTGCTGTTGTTTTTAAAGCATCCTGAATACAAAAGAAGTTCAGAAGCAGCGACTAGAGATAAGAGGGTAAAATGCCACAGACCTGCACAAAGGACTGTGATTCTATTAGTTACTTGTCTAAAGCCCCAAGCAAATGCTGCTAGGAGAGAAAAAGACAGGTTCCTGAGATGGTTTAGGCTTCTACCAGATAGCGTGGGTCCTAGCATCAGATACCCAACTTCATATACGCATTTTCCCTAAATATAGCTAAAATAAATTATCTTTGGTTCAGGAACTTTATCAAACTTCATGTTATCATGGAAGGGGCAGGTGTGGGGAGGAAGGGGATGTAGAGGGTAGGGGGAAGAGGCCTGCTGAATAATACCAAGCTGAGAGGTATAAAGAATATTTATTAAAACCAACACGAACAAAAATGATTTTGCCTTGCTTAAAAAAATTGAAAGTCTATAAATAACCCAACAAAATGACACTTGATGATATTATATTTGACTGCAACTGAAAAAGTAGAGAGTCGGAAATAAGCATTTGTAATTACAGTAAAATTATGCATGTGTATTTCATATGCATTTTATATATAAGATATAAAAGCCACTGAATGGCCAGTTTATTCTGGTAGGAGTTTAAGAATGCTTATCGTTAAATATGATTAATAGTCTATTGAACTGTTTTTCCTTCATACCAGATAACTACTTAATCCCTTATTGTACTGATGATACTAGATAGACATAAGGCTAAAAAATTTGCAATGTATATATAAATTTTGAATGCACTATGAATTTGAAGTTATAGCCTTCTAAAAACAAGCAAAGGAAAATTATGTAGAGCACATCAAAGGCATTACTAGTATTAGATCAGCTTTTGACTTGTTCTCAAGAACAAGTTGAAAATAAAACTTAAGAAGTTACATATTGAAATCATTTTTTAAAGATAAAACAAAGAACCAAATAAGCCTAGTTCAATAAACAGTGACCAACAAAAATTTAAAAGTTGCTTTTCAACGGTTGGTTGGAAATAGGCTGGTTTATTTCTTCTTCCCTCCTTGTCTCTGTTACAGTTACGTAGGGTTCATAAAAACATCAGGCAACTTTACAATGCCACACTGTTGTCTAGACAAGAGAGTCTGAATAATGGTCAAACAAAGGACAATGTATGATGCTAAAAATTATTCTCTTCCAACACAATAGATATTTTGAATCTTAAGGGTCCTTTTATTGTCTTACATATGCAGTTTACTAAATCCTGTTGAAAATTGCCCCAAATCTCTTGTAAAAACTGATCATAATCTGACTCAGATTAAGGCAAAACTGCAGCAGTGGCATCCTCATTTTTTCAGATTAAATCTGTTTTTTTTTTTAATGAATAATCACTACAATAATTTACAATCGTTAAAAGGAGAAGTATTATGCTAAATCTCTAAATTCCAGGCTTCTCTTTGTGACTTAACTCTGCTGCGGGTGACCTGGTTCCTGTTCTCTTTACTAAACTAACACAAAACAGAGAGACAGCTTGAATCTGAAAAATCGGTGAAGCCCTGTCACCCAGCAATGGCACGATCTGTCTCTGTAGTGTACCCACTTGGTAACTAGCATGCTGCACTGCACACCAGCCTACAGAAACTGTGAGCTACGTCTTAACTGGGCTCAGCCCAGAATAGGAGCTGGTAAAGAAACTGCATCACTTCAGGCATGGCTTGGAAGGAATCGGCACCTGGAACCGTTTCTTTCTGGGGCCTTCCTTTCTCTGGGGACAGATTGTACAAGGGCACTTAACCACTTTTCAAGGGACAGTTTACTTCCCTTTTCATAGCACCTGACCAGAGATTCTGCCTTGTAAATTGACAGTGCCTAGCCAAGCTAAGCCTCTTCCCACTTCTTGCCCCTGTTGTTCATGGAGTGCAGTATCGAGTAGCCAGACCCTGGTTTCCAGAACTCTATGATGGAGTCACAGCGTCAGCAGCCCTGTACTTCATTCCTCCCAAGCATGGTGGAGTAAGGGCAAGGAACAAATGTGACCCAAATTAAATCCAGAGGGTGATGCTAGAAATTATACAGTAGATTTCATTAACCATAAAAGTGCTGTCTCCTGCTAACTCTGTCATGCTACTTCTGAGAGTCTTCATTCTTACTGTGAGAAGCGCAGATGCATCCCTTAGAAGAACTTTTTGACTGACTGGCATTGGAACAGGCTACCTAGAGAAGCTCTGAAATCTCCATCTCTGGAAAATTTCAGGAGTAAGTTAGGCAGACACTTAGCTGGGATGGTTTAGTTGGGGATAATCCTGCCTTGAGTAGGGAACTGGACTAGATGGCCTCATGACAATCCCTTTCATCCCTACTGCCCTATGATTCTAGGGCAGCTTAGGCTGTGGAATCCAATGTTTGCCATAATTTGTTCCTGTCTAAGTAGATGGTATGTCCTCACTTGTGATCTGAGTTCTCCAGTATGGAAGAGCACTGTTTCTTCCTGACACCAGTTTGTCAGCATTTTGAAGACTTACAGAGAGTCTCTAGTGTCCTCTTATACTAGTGAGTCTAATACCTGCCATTTGTGCTGTCCCTTGATCATCTCTCAAGAATCACAGGGTTAGCACTACCACTGCCATATTGCTGTAGGGCTCTGCATGTGCGCTGCCCACCTCTGACCAGGGACCTCGTAATTCTCGATCCCAGACACTCCTCATTAGAAGCTTGCTGACAGGGCTGTCTTCTCCTGGCTGTTATTCCATTTGCCAGTGAAGTTTTTTACATAATGATTTAAAGGAGCTGGCTCTGTTCTGGCTCTGTTTTATTGTTGTGGCACAGCGTTCAGTGGCTTGCACAGCAGGAGTTACCTCCTGCGCTAAGTACAGACAGTCAAAAAGTCCAAAGCTGAATCAATTCAATCTTCGCAGGTTAGTCTAAGCTGCATAGATTGAACTGATAAGCAAGTGAACAGACATCCACTTTTGATTCTGGAAATGCAGTCACATGCCTGCAGTTGGCCAGAAGCTGGGTGGGTGCTACAACACGCCTCCCTACTGGGCTGGAGCATACAGCTAGGGCCAAGGCTAGCCCACCCACCTTGTGGGGGTGGGGGGGAGGTGCAAAGCATCATGGGATACTGGGGACTGTGTTAACTTGAATCTGGAGGGGATTTAGGGCTGAAGTTCAATTAACCAATTTAACCTAAATCAGTTCAGTCTGATACTACATCCATCCAGGTTTATCTTAAACCAGTTTCAGCCACTTTGAAAGAGGTTTGTGCGCACTGAATTTCTGATCACTTATACCAGTTTCTGATCACTTATACCAGTTTATGTATAATTTCTGTCCCTAACCCTGGAGAACACAGACAGAGATATCCAGTTCTTCTCCTTGCAAACATTTAGGGAGATTTTCCTTTCTTGCTTTCAGTTACGAAGAGTAGATTTGATCAACTGTAACGCAAGGTATAGTGCTAGGAGGAAAGCTCTCTCTGACAAATAATGCAGGCAGCTGTTAATATGCCAATGATTATGTACAGGCTGGCTTGACAATGAGCTGTAACGTCGGCAGTGAACTTTTTCCCCCCGTTCCCCTGTATCATAGCAACTGTGCTACTGCAGGGGCTATTTTAAGAACAGTAACTTTTCACCCAGCGTGATTATGAGGCAGCCAGAGTGAGCTCAGCCTATAACAAAAAATACTGCATTAGTTCTGCAGCATCTGTGGGCCAAAGTTTGATACCCTTAATCAAGTGAGCAAAAAGTCTTACAAAAGTGAAAAGGGGAGCGTGTGAACATTATGTCTTAAATCCCAGTTTAAGAAACTTATCGTGGTGTCATTACAAGGGAGGACAGACACGTTGTGAGGTTCTACTAAGGAGTTTCTAGTGTTAAGGTGGACAGCATACAAACATATCATTTCAGAGACCTAGCCTGAGCTGGAAGTACTTGCTACAATTTGTAAAAGTGAGCCTTATCCTATCATTTCTGAGAGAGAACCAAGGAAATCTGCCTGAACTGGAAAATAGCGAAGATCATCAGAGTTCTTACAGCTGATGGGACTATTGGCAGCAGAAGTTACTATTCAAGGCTAGGTCAGGGTAGCTGGATCTGACCCTCTGAACCTGTGTCAAGAGGACTTTGGATTTCAGTTTTGTTCAGACATTTGAGCACACCTGTTTAGAAAAGGGGCCTAAATTGAGTCACCCACAAAACCCCAATGAGGCAGATGAGTATCAGGAGGCTTATCTTCAGAGCTACCGAGCACCCACAAATTCCGCTGATGTCAGTGGAATCAACAGGTGCCGAGCACCTCTGGAAATCAGATGCTGCCAAAGGTAAGTTCTCACTACAGTGAGTCCTCATAAAGAACACTGTGCAGTAAGTAACAGATTATTAGGCATATACTTCTAATTAGTGTCAGGATGCATTAGCTTTTACTGCTGACAGCTTAATTAAGATTAAATGACATGGTGTTTTAGATGCCGAAGGCAAAGCTTGCACTGCTGATGGTGCCACCAGAGCAATGCTGAGTGACCTTCCACCTCCCACATGCCAGGCACTTACCTCAGAAGAGATGCAGCAGGAAAATACAACAGCAACAACAAATGCGACCTCACTTGGAGAGGAGTTGCAGTCAGAGGAGCTGAAAGAGGATGCAGGTATTGAATGTCAAATAGAAAAGTGCTTCCTTTGAGGTGGCCTGAGATAAGTCAAAAGAATTGGTTTCTGAGAGGGTCAGTGTTGCATTCAGCTCTCTTTCTTCCAGACCAGGTTAGAGATCTATATTGAGTTTCGAGATCTTTGCTGAACCCAGGGGCACATGAACCTGGGAGTAATGGGCATAGTTGGATGTATAAGAAGAGACTACACTGGCATTTTGAACTCTTGGTATTAGTACTAATTATTGTGAATGTGAAACATTCTCCCCCTAAAACATCTTTGCTTACATTTCCACAGCAGGTATGTGGTTGCCTGAACTACCTGCGTAGCATTGCAATGGCTATGTACCTAAGAGATGCACATGTCCCCTTTGAGATGGTCACCCATACTGGGATCCATGGATGAAATTGAAAATGTATTTCAGTTTGTAGAAAGAGCACTTCTGTATCAATAGCACAACTAAGCCCAAATCAGCCTCCATACCAGAGTCCCTTCCTGCAAACACTCACAAATTTTGACCCCCAAATAACATCAGGATCTGAACCCAGTTAAGTCTGCCAGACAAAGTTTTAGCAATAAAATACTTAGTATAAAAGGTTGCCAAAATAGTCAGCTGATATATGTGTCATAGGGGAATTTTTCATTGTATGGAGTCAGTTGTTATACCCAGAGCACATCTATACATTCATTAATGAGCAGTGCCTACTGCGCATTAACTTTAGTACTTGTATAATCAAGCACTAAATAAGGGTGCAGTAGGCTGCTGTACTGCACATCAGTGCGATTGTACACTTTGTGTTATGCTTCATGTGCAGTAGACTAATACTGCTGCTCATTAGCATATGAGCATGGTTTTTGCCATGTGTGCTAATGCACAGTAGAATTAGTCTACTGCACAATGTCTCATGTAGATGTGCCCCAGTGTACTAGGCGTGGTTGGGGGGAAAAAAATACTGATATGTCCCAATTGCCTTAGTATTCTGGCAAGAAGCTACTGGAACAGCCCCTTGGCGGGCAGTGCAGTTGAGTAAAACTTAGAGCAACCTTAATGCTGTTCTGAATTGCACTTGGGTTGAGCCAGTCCTGACTGGTGCTATGGTTGTGGGGTCAGAATGATTAAATTAATCTTTTACTTAACTATTGGTCCAGTAGAATGCAGATACAGCTTTAATATCTAGCCTTTATGTTGCCATTAGTAACTATCACTATAAAGGTTATTAGTAGTATTTTTACTAATAAGATGTATTATTAATCAGTGGCCTGACTATAGATCAACTCTATTCATAAGTTGAGTGTGATGGTTATGGGTCTTTTGGAAGAGGAAGGAAAAGAAAGTCAACTTCTAACCGGAACAATATATTATCTCCTCATCTTCTCAATTTCTGCTTCATGTGTTATGTCATGAAGAAACATCTCAAAATAGATTTTTTACACAGGGGCCCTCTAATATTTGTCTCATTTCTGTTCTTTATGTTATAAAATGAAAGCAAAACAGATGACTCAGACTCTAGACCTGTATGTAGTTGACTTCTGTTAATGCATGCTCATATGGTTCTTTTTCCACTTTTCTGGTTTGTCTTGAGCCAAACTAAATGCTCTTCAAACTGTCCATCTCCCTACAGAGCCTAAGACAATGAGGCCTCAATTTGCATTGGGATTCTCCAGGCACTACTGTCATTAATAATAATGTTCCAAGACCACTGCCATTTTTATATAGCTCTGAGCAAGCTTCCTCTCTGCTTGTGTTTGGTTTCAATCACTGGGACAGGAAAGGTGAGGCCAAAGAGATCGGAAGAAAAAAGAGATGGGAAAAGGAAGTTATGTGTGTGTAGCTCTGCCATGTCCAGAATCATTTTCATCCCATTTCTAAACTCTGAATATAGGCATTGATTTCTTTCCAGATTGTCCTTATTTCTGGTGACCCTTGTTAGTGCCAGCTCTTTTTAGTATCTCTATTGCCTAACCTTGCCTGTATTTTGCATTTATTTTTTCCCTCTCAGGGCTTGTGTCTTTCCTCCAGCCTCAGTAAAGAGAAAGATGGAATTACATTTTCTTAAACAGCTTGCTGTGAAACTCCAGTCATTGTTAGATGTCCTTCTGCTTCTTTCTTTAGCAACTTCTGGCTTTCTATACAATTATTGTTACTATTTTCTTGAGCTCAATTAGTTCCATCTTTATGCATTTTGGCATTTCTCTCTTTATAAGCATAAGCAGTCCAAATCCATTCCAGACCTTACCCTGTTGACATTAGTGGGAAAAAATATGTAGGATGAGCTTTCCTTGACACAGGTTCCAGTGGTTTCCACAGGAGTTTTCAGCAAGCAATACAGGCTCAATCCTGTGCATGTGCATACATTTTATTACTGTATCTTTGTAATTTTATGCTATTTAGCTAAATATGGAAATATTGATGTGAATAGTAGAGGTGTGAAAAAAGGGGAAAACAAGAAAAAGGAAGAGAGAGGAAAAGCAAGCCAGTAACATAGGAGATGTTTATATTTTTGCTGTCTGTAGGATTTAAGAGATTTGTGCTTCCAACTTATGGGGTTTCAAATGAACAAGTTAAAAGGGAGAAAAAGCCACATTCCAAAATAACAAGTCTTGGAATTCCCATGGAGTATGCTAAAAGCTTCTAGGTCTCGGTATAATATTATGATAGAAATATGTGCCTCTGTTTATCACCTGACAGTCTTTCACAGCAATGTCAAGCAAAAGTTCCTTTTCACGAGACTCATTTAACTGACAGCTAGAAAACAGAAAAACCTTTATTTTTAAAAATTATATTGTAGGAGTTTTGTAACATCCCATAGCTAGAACAGGAGACCTGGAATCCAGAGTTCTGGATTCTCTTTTCTCTTCTGTCATTGCCTTGGTATGTGACATGAAGAAAGCAACAACATGCCTATTTTCCCAGTCTATTAAATGGGGATTATAATACTTCCTACTTCACAGGAATGCCATGAATTTAGGGAAGTTAGGTTTCTTCTATACATATCTTTTTTCCTACTGAATTGGGCCCCAGTTCAACAGGACTCTTTGCATGGATTACAGTGGACTTCAGGTCACACTCTAGAAAATACAACTGAATGTAAATATTCGCTCCCTTTGAGTTTTCAGATTGTCTTTCTTTTTTTCTTCTTTCTTGGTAGTAAACTGCTTTAAAGCCCCACAGGATGTGATCTGATGCCATTTTGAAATGGGAATTGGTATATGATGCTCTTGAGATGAATAATTAGTTACACTCTTAAGGGGTCTAGTGCCAAACCTTGAAATATTCTTAATGGAATGAGATTCACTCTGTAATGTGAAATCTGTAAATAGTATGTGTATCATATTGTGTATTGATAGTAACCAACAATGACCAAAGTCCACTTTGAAAAATGGTGGTAGATGGTCCATGGTGGAAAAAGGAATGAGGTTCTTATTAAACAATGACCCTTGATAAGGATTTGTTTAATGAGAAATTCCTAATCAGGACTTGAGTTTAGAAAAGTCAAGCATTGATAGGACTGGCTGAAGCCAAGCAGACTATGGGCTAATCCTGTTTAAAGGTCCAGTTCTAATATCCACATTCATATATACTCATGCTAAACAGAACCAGACTATACAAGCAGTCCCATCAGCATCAGCAGGCTTACCAGTACATGACACTATTGCTCCCGTTGAGTAGGGGTATCACAATCTGGCTGTACATTACTTACTGTGGCTATCAAGTGACTAGCAACATCCATTCTATCACTTGGCCTTTTAAATAATGCTCAATATTTCACCCATTTTAGGATGTCAATCATGCTGCAATTCATTAATGACTTCATTTTGCTCTGCTCCATGTCACTTAGATGCTCATTACAAAAAAAAGAGGATTAGAGAATCATTCCACTTAGCAATTTCTCCTCATTGTACAAATAGTATATGATTTTTCATGGCAACTAACATGAAATATCACCCCTAGATTTAAAAACAAAAACAAGTAGGGAATGCAATGCCTTTATCAAAAAATGAGATGATTATTTCTCAAACAAAGCAACTTTTCTTTCAATCAAGCAAAAATTTTGCAAGCATTTCCCGAACTAATAATGCACATTTATTTTACTTCCCTGTCTCTCTGAAATGATAAATACTCATTATCCCACTTCTAGGCACTCACATTAATCTGTTTGTCAACAAATTAAAAGCTATTATCCTGCCAAAGCCATTGTCTGCTACTGCCTCACTGCTCTGCCGCCTTCCCTTTTTCACTCGAAATTCAAGGATGAAGATTGCTTGTTAATACAAAAAGCTTATACAGAAAGGGTTTGGAGGGAAATTAATTTATAATAGAACAAGGTCACAAACAAATCTTTCTGTTAATAGGCCCCCCCAGCAATTAGAGATGGGAACATTATCTTATCCATCCTGCAAGACCAGCACACAGTTTTTCTTGTAAGATTATCTTTTTAAGTTAATTTTCTGTCATTCATTTTACTGCCTTGTCCCATTTTAAATGCCTCAAGTGAAGGAGCTTCCATCACTGTCCACCTATCAGTCACCATCGTCTTCAGAGGACGGTTCTCACTCTATTTCTATGGAGGCCAGTTTGGCAAGCTAAGGACATGCTCTTGGGCTGGCTTCCTTGGAGTCAAGTGCACTCCTCTCCATTCACAAGGTATTCTATAGCCTGCAGGATCAGGCCTCTTGGTGAAACAGGACTCTTTAAAGCCAGACTTCAGAAGTTAAATTCTTTCCCTACATACTTTGTTTCCTGTTCTCCTGTTCCAGAATTGCTATCATGATCTAGTGGCAGATTTTTATAGGAGATTGCTTCAACTGCCCTTCCTGGTCACTAACATGAGCTGCAAGAAATCTTCAGGAACTCTGACATGAAAGAGATTAGAGCAAAATTAGGCAGCAAGTTGAAGTCACATATTTAATGGGATAAAAAAAAAAATTGCCAGGAAACCTGGAATCTATGCAGAGAGGAATCATAAAGAGAACTTTGAGGGAATATTAAAGCTTAATCATTCCTTAGCCTTTATTTGTGTTCCTTGCAAGGAGTAGTGCTCACACAGTTGCACTCTGAATCACTGCAGCTGGGCTCTAAGACAATGAATTGCCGTTCTCAACATGCAGTTCTCAAAAGCCACAATACCCTGCTGTCCTCATTACAGAAATGACATAAGAAAAGATTTTGGGGAGAATGAGTAAAGGCTGTTTGGCTGTTCAAGGCTCAATAATTTCCTCAGGAACACAGAATCTAATTGTTTCCTCAGTTACCCTGGTGGGTTTTTATATTTTACCTGAACACCCTTGGCTGGTTGGCTATTTCACACATTAATTATTTTCCTTGAGAAAATAAGTGCTTCTAGCTGTGTGCTGTGACTCTCTTTTTTTCTGAATTTTCCTGGAATAGCCCCTTGGTCTATCATTATTTTTAATTTCATGTTCCGTTAATTGTACTGCTTCTTACCCTCTTGCTAGCCAAGAAACCTTCAGCATCCACTGAAGACTTAGAAGATGCCAGCCTGCCAGCAACCGAAGAGAATCCACAAGCCTTACTTGTTACTGAATCTGCGGATTCCCCACAGAAACAGACAGAAAGAAACCCAGCACAGCTTCCCAGCCCCCCATTGCTCCCGATTCCTCCACCTAAGGCAGTGTCTAAAATCACTAAAAGTGTAACAGGTGAGTCACAACAGCCTAGAAAGACCTTTCTGTCCCCTCAACATGGTCATCCTCTACACATGTGGATTCATCGTTTTTCTCCTACCTACTTTTTTGGTCAGATTCTCAGCCACTAAAAATTAAATCTAGTTTCTTGAATGAACTGTAATCTAAAAGCACGAAATCTCTGTGTGTTACATGGATACCAGACCTTTCATAGGTTGGTTTGTTTCTGGAGGTTGTTGCAAGGCTGCTGTTTTCAACACACGTGAAGCAGATCAAACTGATTGCAGACATGTGCCAAATCAGCAACTTCCACAAGTTGCTGTGAACATCAAAGAAGGTTTCAATTAATTTCACTAGACAGAAACACAGTCCAATAACATTTTGGCAGCAGTGCAGTTCCATTCAATAGGTCCCTCATAACATTTTTGCCCGAAAGCTTTGGTCTTTTGGCAGGTCTAAATTAGAGCTCTGCAAACTGCTCTAATTACACAGAAGAGCATCTGAACATTTCACCTGGTTTCCACAATCTACTTCCCCCCATCTCAGGATTCACTCAAAATTCCAGTTTCAGACCCTCAAAAAGATGAATTCCTTAATACACCATCTCAGTGGTATTACATTTTTCAACAGTCGGGCGGTGGAAAGGGCATTTCAGTAAGTACAACTGTCATTTGCTCCCTCTCTGAGGACCCTTTACATTGCAAGAGTGGTGAAAAAGGCCTTAAGTATAAATGAGAATCAGGCTTGAACATCTAAAGTACCTGTTTTTATCCATTAATTAGGCATAAGCACTGGGCTACTGCCATGATTTGCATCCATAATTTACTGATACAAAAAAGGTGGATTATGGTTTTGGAATCACAAGGAAGCAGAAGATCAGAGGGTGCTATTCTTCCAACCAGAACTATTGGGAGACTTTTGGGTTAAATTACATCTGTGGAAAATTGAATTTTAGCTTAAATGAAATGT